CCAATTATTTTCTTTAGCTTCTTTATCTTTTCTTGCTATTATGCATCTTTATTAGAATCTTTGTTTTAACAGAAAAACAAGAAAACTATTTCTTGTCTATTTATGCATTATTTTGTTTATTTATAGAATTTATCATGGTAAGAGAAGTTTTTATAATCTGATTACTTGATAGACTTAATTTTAATTATAATCCTGCTTAATCTAGAAAAAATATTCTTTTTTTTTGTCTTCCAAAGATATTAAATGTAATTATTATTAGGTGGGATAAAAAATTTTTACACCATTTTGAAATTTATAATGTTTATTCCATTCATATAATTTAAAAATTTTTTAAATGCTTTATTTCTAATCAAAAATTTTATTGAAATTTCAGAAAAAATATATTTTGAGAAATTATAAGTATGCTATAATTGTTTCTAAAACAAAAACATTATTTGTATTTTCATCTTTTAATATTACTTTAATTATCAGCCAAAAATTTTGTCATAAACCATAACTTATTGTAATAAAATTTCTTAAACATTTGTATTTTAAATTTGACTTTTTTTGTGGAATGAATTTGTAATATCTGCGCTTTGTCATTTTTTCTATCAAATACATTTCATTTTTATCTTCAAATATATCAAATTTCTTAGGCATTTGCTTTCTCTCACAATGAATAATAATACAATCATTCATGAGATATGAGCACATTTTGTTGATTAAGCGGGCAAAAAAAAGATTCCCGCAGATTGCCCTAAATTTCAAAACATTTCATTTATTTGTTATATTGCATTTTATGATGGAAAGTTAAAAAATTTTTTTCTATCAAATTATTAGTCTAATCGATCAAACATTTAATCATAGAGCTGAAACATTTTCTGAATAAAATTCACACTTTAACAAACATTATCAAAAATATTAATTATTTGATTCAACTGTTTGAATATTTCTTTGTCACACTCTTTTCTATGGTCCATTATCATTGTGATAACATTGATAACTGATTGACATTCAATACTTTTTGTATAAATTTTTTTTTGTTTTATTAAATTCTAATAGCTTATCAATGTTTTTCTTTTTGCTAACATTAATAGTTCTGCTGTAAGTGAAAATGTTTTCATGAAATTTGATATAATATAGCTATGATAACATCTGATACTATTGCTATATATATTATGTGACACTTCACATTTCTCCTCTTTCAATGCATTTTTCATTTGAATTATTATTATTATCATTGTTATTATTACCATTATCATTATTATTATTATTACCATTATTATTATTATTATTATTATTATTATTATTATTATTATTATTATTGTCATTATTATAAATATCACTGCGCTAAAATTAATAATGATAATATTATTACTATTATTCTTTTTATTAAAAAAATAACTTAATTAGAATTAAAATTTTTTTTAAGATTAATACAACTTATGTTTTGTAGCAAGAAGGAGAATCATAAAATGATAAGCATTTCTATAATATTACAGTAAATGGTTATTATGATTATTATTATCATGATTATTATTGTTTTAACTTCCAATAAAATCATTTTTATTGTTATTTATTGTTGTAATATATAAATTCGAAAATGGACGAATTTAATAACAGTCTAATTATAATTAATCTATCGTATTGTAATAAAAACTTCTAATAAAATCAATATATTCTTTTAATCTGTTTGCATTTTTATTAGAGTTTTTTTCAATTTTTAAAATTTTTCCTTCAATTTTTTTTTTTTTTTTGCTAATATTATTATTAGAAAAAAGTTGAATCATTTTTTTGTTGTTTTTTCTTGTCATTTTATTTCTTTTTGTTGTAAAATTTCATTCTCATATGGAAAAAATTATACTGATTAGACAGCAAAATAAGTAATATATTTGTTTTTCTATTCTAAAATATTATCTATTTGAAGTCAAAAATATTGAAAAAAAAAAGCAAAAAACTTTCTCTTTATTAGCAAAACAGAAATAAATCAAATTTTTGCTATAAGCTTATTACATCCATAAATTTATTTAATGGATTATGTGAAATTAGTCAAAAATTTTCTGAAACTATCATTTTGCTACAAATATTTCTTGTCCAAGTAATTAGTTCTTTAATTTAATTACATTTCATTCATTTTTATGCACAATCATTTCATACTTTGCACGAATAAATCTTTGCGAAAAAAGTTGATGCAATGAGTTAAAATTTAATTTCACCTGCTTTAATGTCTTTTTCTTCTTTAATTTTATCTTCTTTGCCTTGTTAACTTTATTATAATTATATATTTAATGGTAAAATTTTGTAAAAATATTATCTTTTTTTTCAGATCTAATTGCAATTAACCAAAATTTATAAGTATTTCTATTTATAAGGATGAATTTTTCCTGTTTAAGAATAAACTTTTCCAATTTTTTCTTGCAAAAAATTATTTCCTGCAATTTTAAAATATGCAATAAAGCATATAATTTATGTGATTAAAATTTGTAAATTGAAGAGCAAATAAGCATACATAGAAACTTTAAAGTTTATGAATTAACAATTTATTTTGGCCATTCTTTTTTTTAAAAAAAGAAAAAAAAATAAGTAAACATACAAATTATTCGGTTAAAATTTGTAAATGGCTGCAGCAAATTTAAAAAAAAAAAAGAAAAGAAAAAGAAGAGATCACTTAATTTCATCGCTCGTAAATTTTTACTTTTCATTTGATTGAATATATGTAAGTAATTACTTTTAACAGAGATTTGAAAAGATGAAATTTGAATGCTTTCAAATGCATTCATATTACATACTTCAATGAATCGAAATAAATTCTTCGTTCGTTTTGTCCAACCCATCGCTCTCCCTCTCTTTTCCTCTTTTACAAATTTCTTTTGATTTTTTTTTTCTAATTTTTGTAATGAATATTTTACCATAAGATGAAATCAACAAATTTTATACTATGAATTCGTTTTTTCACCTTTTGTTGTTGTTGTTGTAGCAGTTGTATAAAAGATTTTTAACAGGTAAATGAATACTCCTATGAACAGGTAAATATGGATATACTTAATGGTAGGCAAGTGAGTACACTTAAAAACTCAAATTTAATCAACCTAAAATGTAATGCTAACATTTTTTTCTGAAATAATAATGCATCTAGTTTAATTTAATTTAATTTTTTTCTGCATGAAATTTACTGAAGAAAAAAATGAGCAAATTATTTTAGCAACTGAAATAAGAAGTACTTAAGACAATTGAATTGTTTTTACAAAATTAAATTTTTCTTTTTCTGTTTTAACTCAAAATAATTTAGAATATATAATTCTTTTTTAATACTTTTTGATTCATTCATCAAATACTGATAGCATATTTAGGTTTAAATAATACTGTAACAAATTTTTACTGATTCTTTTTAAAGCCAGTTTTTTTTTTTTGAATATATTATTTAAAAAAAAAAAAAAAAACATATATGAATAAAAATATTACACTATCAAATTTATTAATCATTTACAGCGGAATATTAATTGAGCTATCAAAGTGATATAATCCATTTATGATAATGATTCTAAGTCAGATGGAAAAATTGAATAAATTCATTGATAAACAATCAGCTATTAATTGCTGGAATATAATAATTTATCAATCATTATTGTTGATGAGTTATTTGTTGACAACATTTAGCACATTAAATAATTATCAGTTAGCAGTTGCTAACTGATTACATCTGATATGCATACTGATATTTTTATATTTCACAAATAATTCATTCAATTTTGTCTATTTATTTAAAAATTTCTATTCGTTCATATATTTTCATTCTTAGCATAAATATATTTTAGTTTAAAATTTACAATAAATGATTGAAAATGAATTAATACATTTTGCGCTACACTTTCATAATATTTATATTTGAAATTTAATCTAAAAACAAATATTAATTATTGTAATACAATATCTTATTGTGTTTGTATTAATGATCTTTTGAATTATGCATTACGATTTTTTTATTTATCAATAATTAATTACAAATATTCAAAAAAATTTCCTAGTATAATTGCATCACTTTTTTCAATGCAAATATATTAAAGATGAGAAATTAAAAAGAAAAAAAAAACCTGTTTTTTATTTTTTGAAATGAAATTTTTTAGAATGTTGATTGAGGTGCTATTAGCTAAGGTAATGCTAATCGTTTGTCAAATATTGTCATCACCCTACTTCAATTTTTGTCACATTTTCATCAATTGTATTGCATTTCATCTATTTCAGTGGTACCGTATTTTCAGACACCATTTTCTCATTTTTCTTTTCCTACTTTTCTTTTTTATTATTTTATTTGTTATTATTATTTTTATATGCAAAAATGGTATTTTAGGTAAAAAATTTAAATCATAAAACATAAAATTATGAGTTAAATAAGTTAAATTAAATTTTGAAAGTAAAACTATAGAAGATAAAAAATGATTAATAAGTAATTATTTTTAAGTAAAAAAAAAAAAACGATTAATATATTTATTTTTGAATTTAAAAAAATTTCACTTAGTATTACACTAAAATAAAATTTTGGTTAAGAGTAATAAACATTTGAATTATAGTATATTTGTATTTTATAACCATTAAATTATATTTCATTCTATTTTATTAATTCCTATTTACTTGTTTATCGATATTTCTTGCCATATTTGTTCTTGCTTATTTCATTTCTTTTAGATTTCAAGAATTCTCATCTGATTCGAACGATGAAATTTTGCTCAGATTTAGAGCAAAGAATTTATCAAACACTTGAAAATATTACCTAATTTGCATAGCAGTGAATGTGGTATGCATAGTAATTCATCAATTTAAATTACTTTTATTATGTCAATTTGCATCTTTTAGTTTTCTAACACAAAATTTTTTGACAAAATATATTTTTTTTTTCTTTCAAATAAATTTTCCATCATTTTATTTATTTATTTAATAATTTTCTACATATTTATGCAAAATAAAATTTCAGCTTGGAAGTGAAATCTTAAATTTTTGTAAGAATTGAAGAAAGAAATTCAACAATGAATGGCAGTCGAAGTGTTGAAGATAATAGTAAAAATATTAGAGGCGGCTGGTATAACAAACGACGACAGTATCGATCGGTAGCATTCGGTACCTGGAAAGTTGGTGATGCTCGAGATTTTTCTATTAAACGCGGTATTTCCGAAGGTGAAGGACAATTAATTCGGTTAGTTAAAATTTAATTTTGAATAAAATTTATTACTAAGTTCGTTTATTTGCTTTTCTTTTATTGATTACCAATTATTTTCTAATTAGCCTTTATTAAAATCTCAAATTGTAACATAGAATTGATCATTAATTAATGCAGCATCATTTTAAAACTATATTATCAATAATTTATTCTCATTTAACTTATCAGATCAAAGCAATAAACAAAACTGAATCTTTGCCATTCTATGCATACTTTATATATTTTAATCAGTGAATTAGAAAAAAAAAGTTTTTTTCTTTTTTGATTAAATTTGCATAATTTTTTTGTATTTTATTTGTTTATTATTTAAAATTATAAAATACTTTTTAGTTTGTGTACTCTCAGCGTATTTTAATTAAAATACACATTTTAAATATTCTAATTGAAAGGCATAAAATTCATCATAAATAATGTAAATTTTTAAATTTATTATTACGTCCAACGATAAATTTAATCAGAAATTATTGCAACAACAAATTATTCAACCAAATTTACCAATTTAGAAAAAAAAAAATTTAATATACAATCAATTATTCGCACCATTAATCATACAAATGATTTGTTTGCATGTTCAAAGTATTTTAATTTAATTAAAAAAAAATGATTATAATTTAAATTAATAAATAGAAAAACGATTTCTCTTATCTTACTTTTTTTGCAACAATGTAAAATTTATGGGTAATTTTTTCTTGCATTAAAAATCAAATATTTTTTTTCCTTATTTTACAAAAACCGGAATTGTTTATTTTCTTCTCATAAATTAACATTATGATAAATATAACATCAGTTCATCATTCGTCATTCAAAATTTAAATTATAATCATTGGGAAACTTGAAAATATTATCTATAATTTATAAAAATTCATCTAAATTCGTGAAAAAGGAACCGGTAAAGTGCATATGAATGTTAATTAATCCAACATAACCATTAACTATTATTTACAAAATTACACAAGAATTTGTAACATTGATTTCATTTAAATGCCTTTCAAATTATCTAAAATTACTAAAACTTGATGTGATCACTCAATCAGCTACTATTTATAATATTGCTGTTACTGAAATGAAATCTGATCTGAAATTGATATGGCTTATGTCATATATTTGTTTTTCATTTGTCATTTATACTTATCACTTCATTTTTTCATTTATCATTGATTTTTTCTTCTCCTTAGCTTAATTATGCTTTTGTTTGTGTTAATTGTAAACTACGACGTAATCACGTGTTCAATCTGGTTACCAACTAGCGTAAATTACGTGTTAAATATATAACTATTGGCGTAAATGCGTGTTGAATGTAATACATTGGTGACAAATGCTGAAGATTCTGACATTCGTGTCAACTTGCTAATTGTTGTTATAAATTAGTTTCATTTAATACAATATTTCTGAATTTTAAGGCAAAATCTTTTAATTTACAGATAAGAAAAATTGAATCTAATTTGCACTTCCAAAAAGATTAATCGTTCGAATATTTTAGAAGCAATAAAAATTTAGAGAAAACAACAGCAGTACAAATTCAAGTTATTAATTAATTTATTTTGTTTTTGATGTTTTTACGTCATCGAATTAATTTATTATGCAAATTTTAATAGCATATTGGAATTAGAAAAAAGAGGATGTGCTAATGAGAAGAAAGTTGTGGCTTATTGATAATTGATGTCAGAATGTTTGTTGTAAAGTATTAACAATTTTAAAGTTATATTCATCACAAATTAGGCGCATCTTAAATTACATCTAAGTTTAACTTCCCTTTTATTAATTATTTATCCTTACTGTTATTAGTTCCTAACTATCAATGCAAAAGAAAGTGTTTAAAATCATTTTTGAATTTTATACTTTATTTTTGTTAAAATGCTTGAAATTTTTTAGAAAATATGAAAAGACAAGAGAAAAATATTAAAAGAGCATTGTAGTAGACAATGAAAATTTTTTCGAAAAACGGAAGAAAGAAAAAATTAGATAAAGGCTGAAAAAATTTAAATTAAATTTATCGTATCAAAAAGTATTACAATAAGTGTATAGTATAAAAGATTATCTGTGAATGAAATTCAAATTTAAATTTAACTTCCAAAACGATAACTAAAAAGTCAGCAATTAAATGTAATAGTGAAATAATTCTTAGTATAATTAATTTTATCATCTTATAATGCTGACTTTTGTAACTTTTCAACTGTTGAGATAATAAAATTTAAATATAAATGGAAAAATAGAATGAAATAGGTCATTATTCCATCTATGTTATTCTCATTCATCCTATTATTTCTTCGATTCTTCAATCATTTATGAAAGAATGAAGGATGAAGTTTGTTAAAATTTGATAGTTTTCCTAAATTTCAATCTTATTTCTAATTAATATATCTCATATCCAAATATTAATATTAGTAATCACTACTAGTATAATATATCAAAAATGTAGAAACTTCATTTTAAATACTTCCTTTAAAAATAAAAAAAAAAGATTTCGTCAATGACAATTTTTTTGGTTGATTAGGAAACATTTTAAAAATTTTATTTATTATCAATCAAAAAAAAAGGAAAAAAATACAATCCAAATTTGTTATAACTGCTCCATTTCAAATTTAAAATTTGAAATCATTTACAAATTAAATCATTTCATTGATTAAAATTTAAATTTATTGCAAGCAATTTCCATTCATTAATTGATCCATTATTTTTATTGATTTATTTAACATAATAAATTTTAAAAGTTTAAAAATAAATTTGCTATTATTCAAATAGAAGAATCAAACAAAAAAAATCGGTATATCAACCCAAATATTTGTAACCTATTCTTTCTTACCTTCTCCTCCTTTTCCCTACCTGTCGGGGTGTTATTTTAAAAATCAAACAAACAAAATGTTCATCTGAAAAAGGACAGGTGACAGGTAGATAAATGATGAAAGATAGAAAAAGGATAAAAAAAGAAAGGAAAAGAGGACGAAGGTGCTATTGCATTAGAAGGGAAAAAGGAAGCGATAAAATTTGTGTCACTTAAGGTGGTTGAATTATCAAAATTGTTTATTTAATATGAAAGGAAGAAGAAAACTTTTTTTATTCAATAAAATTTTATTTTATTGAATCTTTCCGTACTATCTTTTTAATGTTTCATATAATTGAAGTAATTAACTAATTTTCTCTTATTAAAATATTTCACTGAAATGGAATAATTTTTTTTCGACTCTTTTTTTTTGAACGAAATTTTGATATATTTTTATAGCAAATTTTTTTTTTAATTTCTAAAAATGGCAAATAAAATTAAATCATAAAAAATCTTATTCAAACAAAAATGAACAGAGATAGCTTAGTTAAAATTTGTTGAAAACAAGCTACAAGCTAATATCATATCAATCAATATAAATAAGCAGCAAAATTAATTACAACGAAAGAATGGGAAATATGAAAAAAACAATCATTTGATAATCAATTTTTTAAATTATCAACTTATCATTTTAAAAAAGTTATAAATCAATATCAACTTATCATTTAATATTGGACTAATTTTGTGTTGTTTTTGAACTAATTTTAATTTTTTATGAAAACACAATTGGATTTAATATATTTATAGACAAAATAAACATTTTAAAATAAACATTTACGGACTAACATTTTGTTTTGTTTTGTTTTTTTTTTTTCCAAATCTGAAAATCAAAGATTCATTTGATTTACTTTCATTCTTTTTTTTTGAAATTTTTATTGCAAATTTTCAAAGAAAAAAAAAATAAAAATTGAACAACAATAATTGAGAAATAAAAAAAGCGCTGAAAAATTTGCTAAAGCCAAATTTTACAGCGCTTTTTTTTTTTAATTTTAAACAATTTTTATTAAACATTTTTCTCTCCTTTGCTTCATAAAAATTACAAAATTATTTAAACATTCAAATTAATCAATTCATTATTTTAATGCAAAATGGATGAAATAAAGAGAGGGAGAGAGAGAGAGAAAGATTGACTAGAAAAAGAGAAAGAGAGAGAGAGAGAGAGAAAGAGAATTGGAATAATCAGAAGATGATAGAAGAGAAGAAAAAGGAAAAAGTGGCATTATTGTTAAAATGTTCCAACTCTATTTTGGTGTTTCATTTTCATCTTTTTTCATTTTGATGATAACTTTAATTAAAATAAATAAAGTAAAGAAAAAATCATTCATTTTTTTTTTTGTTTTCGAAATATTTAAATTTTTGGGTAAATATTAATATTGAAAATTTTCTTTCAATTTTTTTTTCTTTTCTTTTTTTACAATTTTAAAAACTTTAAAATTTTATTTATCATATTTTATATGAATGAAATTGATTTAATCATTGATATTTGTGAATAATTAGTATATTTTAGAGGATTTATGTATCGCGGTATTTTACCTTTGTTAATAGAGATAAACGCTACTGATTAAATAAACAATTTTTGATCCGATCATATGATTAAATTGATTATAACACTGTTAACAATTGTCATTACTGCAAGGCATAGATGATAAAAGTCATTCGTTATCACATTATCACTATATCATGAAAAACATGAGAAGTTTCGTTGATATTATGTATTTGTATTTGTACAAATTTCATATTTTTATTTTAATTTGAAATATTTTCAAAATTTAAATAATTTTACTAGTGAAAAATGCTTCCTGAATTCATTGATGACTATCGTATGTGTTCAAATTTAATTTTTTTGTTTTTTGTTAATGAAAAAAACATTTGTGTTATGTTTGTCATTGACGAACAATAATGATAAGATTAGACAATTTCGATAAGTAAACTAGTTTTAAATTTCTAACCAATAAACTTTTTTTTAACTTATAAATTTTGTAATTTATGCGAAAAAAATTTGTTTCCTATTAAAAATTCTAAATCGATAAAAAAAAAAGGAAAAATCTGTTAATTCATAGCTTATTTTAACAAATAAAATTACCATATAATATCATAAATCGGTTTTAAGTGTGAATTTAAAATAGAATAAAAAATTTTGTCGGTTAAAAGTTAC